ACAAAATACCAGTAGTAGTGCATATAATAAAGTGTTTATACAGCGAGTTTGAAAAAGTTTGTATGGGGGGAAGATACTTTAATTATCGTTTAAACATGGCCCGCTAGTCAAATAATGATAGAAATATACTGCTATCAGATACAAATATACGCTAAAATTGTTCTGTGGGCCGCACGGAATGTATCAGCATGACGGCTTTGGACCACCCTGGTCTACCTTATTGAAAAACTCCCGACTTCGCTGACCACTGGATCGTTGAAATGCGATTGCTGAATTGTTCATTGGTCCAATAGTTGAAAAGAACAAAAACTTTTAAAACAAAAATGCAGCAACAAGGAGAATACTAGGAAGAAAAAATTTAGGAAAACGACTCATAGGCCCATTTCTTGTCCAATAAATAAGTTTCAGTGTTTATTTTAATAAAGAAGGTTAATATTATACTTGAAGACGAAAATAAGCGAACATTTCGAACTTTGAATCGTCTGGTGGATTTGTAATATTCCAATAAACACCGATAAACTATATATAATTCTGCGTGGCGAGTTGCAAATACGCGACAAACTTTAAGCATTTCAAAGTAAAGCCAGGTAGAGATAAAGGAAGAACTAAATTTAAAACGTTTTATGTACCCAAAATTTGTCTATGGGGCGCTTTGCTAGTAGGTGATTTAGGCAGGTTTGGTACAACGTAGTAGTATATATTTACGGTACAACAATAGGCTATGAAAAGTATAAGCATTTTTACGCAAAATCATCGGTCTCTAACAAACAGAACTTAGCAAAAGACAATCGAACACAGGGAATCATGGAGAAAATTCAACAGGAGCTAAAGCGTACTCGTTTCAACAACAGGTGGTTTAAACGTCTTGACGAGATCGCTGTAGTGTATGATCAACTTCATGATTCCCTAATTAGAGAATATCAGGATAATTTGATTGTTCGTCCCAAAAAAAGGAAAGTCGATAACAGAGACCAAATTGACCAAGAAATTGAGAAATGGGGTAAAAGATGTAGAAATATGGGTAATGATAAAACAAAAGGTATATATTTACAGCCACCGTCTAGACCTCTGAAAGCTTCTTGCCCAATAGAATAGCTTGATAATGATGTATTGGAAACGGAAATAATATGTCAGGGGTCTTCTCAGTCAATGGCATTGCGATTTAGGTCACCCAAAATTGATTTTCGAAACTTGGTACATATGTCCAACGTTGACTTTGAAATATTGAGCTCCAATACTAATTTCCGAAGGGATTGGTTCACATCGGACATTATAAATACCGCATCGCTAATTTTGTCATCGCAGTACCCGAATGCTGACGGCCTTCAAAACGCGACACTTTATACCACAATATCTGGCCCAAAGGTCTACCCTCCCTTCAAAAAATTTATTCAAATACTGTTCGTGCATGATAATCACTGGGTAGCTGCGTCAAAGATATTTTCGTTCAATCAGAATACCATTCAAATCTATGATAGTTCGTACTTGAAATACACAGAAAATGACAAATATGCTATTTCGCTTCTCATGCGGCCAACATTAGGAACAAACAAACTACAGATTGAATTTCCCCCCGTCCAGCAACAAACGTTAGGTGCATCATGCGGACCATTTGCAATAAGTTTTTGCATAGCTTTATGCGAAAGAATTAGACCAGAGGATATTAAATTATCTAATTACGATAATTAAATTATCTTCACCCTATAAAAAACTTTTTCAAACTCGCTGTATCAACACTTTATTATATGTACTAATACTGGTCTTGTGTAAATGAGGGGCCCGTAATTGTAAGATACTCATTTTTTGGGGCAAAATAGATCTTTTTGCCATTTCTATCATTGATTGACTAGCCGGCCATGTTTAAACGATAATTAAAGTATCTTCCCCCCATACAAACTTTTTCAAACTCGCTGTGTGAACACTTTATTATATGTACTACTGCTGGTCTTGTGTAAATGAGGGGCCCATAACTGCAGGACACTCATTTATTGGGGCAAAATAGGTCTTTTTGCCATTTCCATCAATAAATTGTCAAGCGGGTCATGTTTAAACGAGAATAAAAATATCTTCCCCCCATACAAACTTTTTGAAACTCGTTGTATAAATGTACTACTGCTGTTTATGTATAAATGGAAAGGGTCATGATTGTAAGACACATCTTTTTGGGGCAGAATAGGTCTTTTTACCAATTTTATTAAAAATTGACGACTGGGACAGGTTTAATCGATAATAAGTATCTCTTCCACCTATCCAATCTTTGTCAAACTCGTTGTGTTTACTTCCCATTATAAGCACTTATACTTATCTTTCTTATACTAAGCGGATATATTTGTGAGACACTTATATTTGGGGGAGAACTGTGATTTTTCGGCAATTATTCACAGTTTTTATGGTTAATCTGGCAACACATAAAGCATCAGCTGATTTTGCATCGATGCCTTTTTCGTAAACTCTCGCATCTGAGTTCTGGCAACAGTGATCGGCGCGTTCAAAAACGAGAGAGATGTCTGCTAGGGTAACTTTGGTCGCAAATCGTCCGGTTACAAGTTCATGACGGGTATTTGAGCTTTCGTTTTTGTCTTACGACTTATTTGAGGAAATATCATCGAAACAATTTTTAACAGGTTAGACGAATTGTGGCTGTGTTTCCCCGATTCGAATCAGCGCCATTGGTGTTGGTCCTTCGTATTAACGCACGGTCCGTTCGGATTACCTGGTACCCGCAGTATCCTAAAAGCCTACGAAACTATCCAAGATGCTACCGGTACTGTTAGCCTAACACCTGATTTTGGACTATTCTATCCTGAAACAGTTTGACAGTGCCACAGTAAACCATAACCATCCTATTAACGACATTACAGACAAATAATATCACAACATAATTAAAACTTTTATAAAAAAAAAACGGAACACTATAAAACGGGGCAACAGCCGTAACTACTTTATTCCGTCGGGCTAAAACACCTTAGCTGTAGGCAAAATTTTCAATTATGACGTCACCGTAACTTTGCCATTAACATTGTTGCAAAACTAAGCCAGTAAACGCGCCGAGATTCCAAATAACTCCTCAGTCTAAACATCTGATTTTAAATCAGTCTGTCCTAAACAGGGCAGAACCTTGCTGTGAAAAGTAAAACCTCTTCAATGGAGAAATAAGAGCAGAAACATCTTATTTTAACATAAATTACGCTAATACGACGAAATACAAAAACGAGATAACAGCACCAAAGACGAGCAAAATCCCACAAGGTCTATTTGCCTGAACTACACGCCAAATTCGATTGTGGTGTTACTATCATTTTTTCACCAGCTAATATCACGAAAATAATCAGAAGATGATGACTGCAGATGTCAAGCGTGTATTTTTATTTGAACTACATAAGTCCGCTATCAAAAAAAATTACTGACGTTAGTGTGACTACAATAAATGTAGCTCTAGCGCGCCTTTCAGGCAGAGCATTTTCGTTTTAGCCGAAGTGTCGGAGCTCAAAAATTATTCAAGCAACTGCTCTTACTACTCACCGCTATCTTAGTCTATCATAACATGCCTTGGATCGTTTTCAATGCCGGCAGCAAACTCTCAATATCAGAATTACACATGAACCATCGAATTTATAATCAGACCATGGTAACTCTACAAAGAACTTTGAACACTAGTAAGAATGAAAACTATAATATAGGGTGGTGACAATAAACGCGCGGAATATGTGTAGTCTACGAAGCATGGCTTCCTCACCATAGGCCTTGAATAATGCTGGTGTCTGCGTGAAACGGAGCCCAAGTTTTCTTTCACATATTCAAAATATACGGCTCCACGATGAAAAAAAGATCCGAAATAGTAAAAATATATACCAATTCCTAGATTTGTTTTTACCTAGATAAATTAGTATATATCCATATTATAGGAATAGTGTAGGGCAGGGGTGGCCAACCTGCTTTCGGTCGCGATCGACTGAAATCTTCAAAATAGTTAGCGATCGACTTATCGGTACCAAGATCCCGCAGTATTTTGAAAGGGAACGTTGTTTAGTCAAATTGTGCCTACGAAACTATCCAAGATGCTACCGGTACTGTTAGCCTAACACCTGATTTTGGACTAGTCTATCCCGAAACAGTTTAACAGTGCCACAATAAACCATAACCTTTCTATTAACGACATATAATATTACCATAACTAAAACTGAACACTATGAAACGGGGCAACAGCCAGCACTACTACTTTATTCCGTCCAACTGAAACACCTGCAAGCAAAATATCAATTATGACGTCACTATAACTTTGTCATTACCCGTTGTTACGAAACTAAGCCAGAACTGGAATCGGTTTATATGTGGAAGGTCCAGATCTGCGTAGCAACGAAATCCTGACAGTTTTCGCCCTATATAGGAGCATAGGCGGCGCTGCCCAATAACCATTACGGCTATATCGCGATCCCCTTTACACTGACATATGTGCTTTTATAGCTTTATTTTGCATGTACAATGCGTATTCCGGACACGTGAATAAATAAACTACCTTCTGGAGCAATGGCATTCCCGAAGTATGTGAACCAAGATGGCGGACATCGAACGTAGTATGTGTACCAGGTTAGGCCATACTTTCAGGTACAAATACCATGGGAGCGACTTAGCTAGTCGCCGAACTCGTCATAGAACTGAAACCAGGAAAATTTGAACAAAATTATGGCCTAACCTGGTACACATACTACGTTACGGAGAAAGCAGTCGAGACCCTTACCCCGCTCCATTTCATGCAGTTCCTACTGGGGGACTGCATTTTTACTGAATTCGGCTGTGTAATGAAACTCCGCCGAACAGAATCAACTATAATTAAACTCCAAACAGACGAAATTATGCTCTGATACAGAGAAACAGCCCAGCACCACAAGACTGAAGTTTTCGAGTACATAAAGCTTCGCAAGGTTTCATTAAGCTTTGAACACATTTGAAAAACGCCACAATAGCCTCACCCCGTGCCTTTGTCAACACGTTAAAGGAAATACAACGAATCATTTTTATTGAGGAACATTCGAAACATCTGCGACATTTCGAAGGCAGAAACAACTTATGGAACAATTTTATGACGGTTTTGAATGACGGGTCAACCTGGAACACAATTCTTTGCACTCCCAGATGGGGAAACAAAAACTTTGTTTTTAGGATTTAAAATGCAATGGAACAAATATTAACATGAAGTTTCAATATCACAGCTGGCCATTACATAAATTACTTTTGATTTTTGACAAGAAAATGGTGAGAGGGTTTTTTTGATTTGTCAAGTAGAAATCACCTTCAAGATCGACTCAAAAGAATTCTGCAGTAATGTCATTCAAACAAATTTGACAAAATCTGGGAATCGTTTAGACTTTGTTTATAAGCCCCACCAGAATATGAATCGGTAAAAATTTGGCTAGAAAATGAAAGATTCTTTACTTTTCCTCAAAAATTCAGCAAAGGGAATGAAACAGCATTTACATCATAACAAATTCTTCAGGCGAGCGTTGACTATATGGCAGAGAAAATAATTGTTGAACAAATTTTACAAAATCAGCTTCAGATTCACTTTTTTACAATAAAGTTATTCTAGTCTGTGATGAGTAAATATTTAATCGACTTCTTCAATGGTTGGTCCTCCAGCGCTGCTGTCTTGTGGTGGGGCACCTCCTGCACCAGGGAATCCACCTAAAGAATGAAAAAAGCTTTGTTAAAAGAGTTAGATTCGGAATTAATGAATATCTTCTCTAAAAATCGGGCAAAAATACAGGTGGTCCTAAACTACATAAAGCAGTGGTGACCGTACATTTGAACCCATGTGTATATCCGCGGTTTCAATCTGTATGCGGATGCTAAAACCCATGGGTTAGGGTTAGTATAGGTTCAAATAGCCGTAAAACAAAAATTTTTTCTGTAGGTGCAATAGTATGCAGATGCAATCGTCGTGGGCTCAAATGTACGCGAGTTCAAATGTAATGGAACCAAAGCAGTGGTTCTCAAACAGTGAGGTGCGCCTCACAAGGTGTAGGTAGACATTTTTGAGGGGACGCGAAGCTAATTAAAAATAAAAAATATTTGTTAGATTTGATATTGCCCACCTTATTTGTTTGTTTTTTAACTTCCATTTATTTCATTATTTACGTTCCATCCACATATTTTTAACGTTTTTTTTAAATAAAACATACTTTCGTCTTGCTGTCTTTTATTATTGCTTATTGTTAGCTAGTTATTTTTGAGGCGGGTCGTGATACTTAAATTTCATAAAAGGGCGTGGCTTAAAAAGTTCCACTGATATAGAACTATGTTAGTGAACTCGATCAGAAGTGAAATGGATTCGCATCTAAGCGATGTCTAAACGGCTTGAAACTTAAAACACTTTCCTCTTGCTGTCTTTTATTTGTAGCTTACTGTTAGCTAGTTATTTTCGAGGTGGGCCGTGATACTTGACAAATTCTATAAAGGGCTTAAAAAGTTCCACTGATATAAAACTATGTTAGTGAACTCGATCAGAAGTGAAATAGATTCGCATCTAAGCGATGTCTAAACGGCTTGAAATACAAGTTAATACTATAACAAAAACAGTTCAAGATAGTTTTCTGGCCAGTCAAACTAAGGGTCTTGGAGGAAACTCCTAGGAGAAAAAACGAAATATGGCCCTTGCAGTCATGCTGTGAAGACCTCATTGCAAAAAATGATATTAATTTGAAAAAAGCTATTCAATATAATTTATTCCAAGTGAGTTCGATATATCAGTCTTGGACATCCCTTCTATACATTGCAGATAGGGAAATTTTTTCTGCCTACACCACTTAAGCACTTCTTAGTTGTGACAAGATAGGAAGAATAACGAACCTGGCATACCACCAGGCATTCCTCCGGGCATACCGCCTGGCATTCCTTCCGCACCACCAGCTGATTGGTATAGTTTGGTCATAATGGGGTTGCAAACAGATTCCAATTCCTTCTGCTGATGCTCGAACTCATCCTTCTCTGCAGTCTGTGAGGCATAAGAGAATAGGTTTTACATATTTATCCAGAGTGAGAAGTAGATAAGACTGCCTAATCAGTGTAATGGGCTGGCTAGACCACTTCATTCACAAAATTATATTGCAGATTACACCAATTATCAAGAGTATAAGTGAAATATGTAGAATTAGGATAGCAGGCTATGGTACTGAAGTATGGGGGCTCCCGAAGTATGCGAACCAAGATGGCGGACATCGGAATGTAATATGTGTACTAGGTTAGGGTTAGGCCATAATTTTAGGTATAAATACTTTGGGAGGCTCTTGGCTTGTCTTCGAACTGATAACAGGACTAAAATAAGGAAAATTGGAAAAAAATTATCGCCTAACCCTAACCTGTTACGATCCGATGTCCGCCATCTTGGTTCGCATACTTCGGGAGCGTCGAAGTATGTATTGGAATATATTGGTTAGCAAAGGTGTTTTAACCAATATATTCTAATTCAGTACCATAGCCTACTGCCCTAATTTAATTGTATTTTACTTATACTGTCACGGTAGCATTTGCATATACTTATCCAGGGAGTGGAAAACCGATAAGATCCCGTCACCAGTCCATGTTGGGTATGGGTTTAGTCAGCCAGTTAGAATAGGATTTACTTATATATCCCGGATATGACAGCTTAATTATATGACGAACCACGCACTCTCGTCCGGTTGCCAGTCCGGGTATGGGACAGGTTAGCCAGTTATTTGTTTTCAGTTGCATGGACTTAACAGCCCAATGTTAGATCTCAAGTGAGATTTGATGAGAGAAAAAGGTAGTTGGTTATGAGAGACGATGTTATATCGTTTTGCCAATACATGGGCACAATGTTAAAGTTACCTAATTGTTATGTAATAATAATGCCACAATTTCACGATCTAATCGGAAAGTTCATGTAACATTTTCTACACACCATACTTCGCGCCCACAATAGAATAGTCACTGCTCAGTTTACTAAAAACTCCACAAATTTATTTTCAGAGTTGGATTGTTAAAGCTCATCCCAGCAGTGGTCGTTTATAAAGCGAACAAATTAGAAAGGATGACAAGACAGTTTACCTGGTTATGATCCAACCAATCAATCGTCTCCTTGCATTTGTCGAGAATCTGTTTCTTGTCGTCGTCAGAAATCTTGTCCTGAGAATGAACAAGGCAGTTATTTAGACGATTCATATTTATTTGTGGGAGAGGAAAGCCGGTAAGATGGCCTAATCATAGAAATGGATTTTAATCATAGGATAAAACTTTCATATTATCCCAGGGTGGGGGAAAGGCTAGGCTGTCAGATGGCCAACTTGAAATTATCTGTGAAAATAGGAAAGTCGAAAATATGGGATACATTTATTTTAGTCGGAAGAAAGTCTATACGAGATGACTTAATTTTAGGGCCAAGTTTTCTCTCCAGGGAGGATTTTGTGGTTCTCGAGAGGAATTTTGATTTTAATTGCTGTAGTATTACTGGAGTGTTTAGAACTAATCGAATATTAGAATACATTCGGAACTTAATATATTTGATAATAGTACATTTTTGGATTGAGGAATAAAGAACTTTTATTTAAAAAATAGGGATATAAAGCCGTCAGACAAGTCGATCAAAACATACAATATATCAACTCAAATAATTTTCAGAATAGTATTCGGAATAGTAAAATATTCATTTCTGGTTATCCCCGAGTATTAGTAATATTCTTTTTCATTCCTATCATACATATTTTCACAACTACTCATTCAATACAAAGATAGGGGTGCGGCTTGCATGTAACAGTAGTTAATTGATGACCAGTTTAAAAAGAACAATAAAGGGTGCTACTGTAGTTTGTCCACAAAGACGGTGTACTGATATAATAAAAAAAAAACTTGTTAAAACTTTTGGAATTGTCCAAGTCATGTCAGTGTCTCCTGCCATACAAAGGGCAGGTGACATTGGTTTTAGACTCATTTATTATGGCATGTTGTCTGGCCACAATGATCACAGGAATACATCAAAGTGGAATCCTGCTTCATGCAATGAGTTCCCACTAGGGCAGTCTGTATTCCTATAGTATGTTAACCAATATGGCGGACACCCGAACGTATTATGTGTACCAGGTTAGAGTTAGGCCATAACTTTATTCAAAATTTTCTTATTTTAAGTTCTATTATCAAGTTCTGGGACTGGCCAAGTGACTGCCGTAGTATTTGTACCTGAAACTATGGCTTAACCTGGTACACATACTATGTTCCAGTGTCCGCCATCTTGGTTCACATGCTACGGTAGTACTGTTTTATGCATAACGAGGGAGAAACGAAGAGTTCAAAAATAGTCAAAAGTAACAAAAACGTTTGAAACACTGTCCTAAGAAAAAGGGAAAGCTGCCTCCCAGGCATGACACGAGGTTTGGCGGAAGTGCGACTTGAATGTAAGTAACACTTGTTAATAATATTAATAGCCCATTGGAGATCAGGGTACTTTCTCAAGCATAGCGAGGCGGGAATTAATAAAGAGTTCTAAAAAACGAAGTAACGAAAAGGTAGAAACCACTATCCCAGAGGAAAGGAGAGTTTCCCCCAGTCGTGAAGTTTGAACAAAAACCACTCCTTTTACCTTTAATTTTTCATCTTCCACTGTTTGTTTGATGTTGTACGAGTACGACTCCAAAGCATTCTTTGCGGAAATTCGCTCCTTTTGTTTTTCATCTTCTTCCTTGTACTTGTCAGCTTCGGCAACCTTTGATGAATAGAAATGGAAATAAAGTTAATTTAGGAAGAAAATATCTTTGGCTCTGGGTTAGAAATTGTTGCAACTTGCTCCACTCAGGGACTCTAGTCAGTCATCATAGCTAATCTCAGAGGCCTAGACACAGCTGATAAAAGTTGTCATCATAGTGGTGCAAGAATAATGCGTGGCAAATGCCGAAGAATATACGAAATATGCCATGAATCACGACTATAATGCCACGGTCCACGACACAAAAGCAAGTCCGTGACAAACTCCGCGACCCATGTCAGAAAAGCCATGGTGCATGACACAAAAGTCAAAGCCGGCTGTTACAATTCATGGCATAATGCCACAGGTCACAGTAAAAATGCTACAATCTGTGACAAATGCCACAGTATCACGAAACGTGACACAAAAGTCACAATCAATGGCAAAAAGCCATGGGTGACAGCAAAAATGCCACAATCCGCAACAACAAAGCCACAGTCCATGACAAAAGACACAATCTGCAACAAAAATGTCACAGTCTATGACAAAAATGCCACCAGCACTTACCATTCTCTCAATATCTTCCTTGCTGAGTCTGCCCTTATCATTGGTGATTGTGATCTTATTCTCACGTCCAGTGCTCTTGTCAGAAGCCGACACATTCAAGATTCCTGAACAAAAAGTCAATGTTACATAACAGAAAGATCTATCTAAAGCAGGGGTTTCCAAAGTTGAAAGCGCCAAAATCAGGATATTCGCCGGCTGAAGGATATTCGCTGGCCGTAAGAGTGGAGCGACGCAAGGGCCAATAATTATACAGATATGTATAATTAAGATACCAAATTGAAGTGTCACGAATATACACATGCTTAATGATATGACGTAACGATTGGCGGCATCTAGAATGCATAAAGTTTTAAAGCATTTCAGTGGGCCATATTAAAGTGTTAAGTAGGGCATCATTGCCACGTGGTTTGGGAACCACTGACTTAAAGATTCAGATTTTCAATTCTAGCATTAAATCTGGATCAGTGATAAATCAAGTCAAGAATATGTAGATGTTAAAAATTGAAGAATCTTGAAGAAAATTTCTCAGAAAATACTAGGTTGAGAGATACTTAGATACTAGGGATATTAGGAGTTGAAACAGACAGGAGATCCTAAACTCATTCAAATAGGCAGTGATATGCGTGGAGTTTTAGGGGTTGAAGCAGACAAACGGGCTATACATAGGGAGATCCCCTCCCCCCAGAGCCCAGAGTAACAAATTTAAATACAGAAACCTACCATTGGCATCAATGTCAAAGCAGACCTCAATCTGGGGAACTCCCCTCGGAGCAGGAGGGATGCCAGTCAACTCAAATTTTCCAAGAATGTTGTTGTCTTTGGTCATGGCTCTCTCTCCTTCATAGACCTGGAATTAGAAAACCATAATCAGGACATTCCGAATAGAAATGCATCGATATATCGGAGTTGCATCCTTGCATTAATTACATACAAAGTTAAAATGCAATAAAGTATTTTCTCATTAAACCGTTAGTAGCGAATCTTAAGTTTAGATTTGAGGTTGCGAGTTCCAGGATGTGTAAAATACCCCTTTTAGGTTTTTGAAGACTTGGAAAAAGTCAAGAGTAGCGACAACTTGAAACATCAGTGGCACCTTTGCATTGGTATCGGACAATTATACGCAAAAAAAAAGTGGAAAGCTACTTATAAAATCACCACTCAGGGACTCTAGTCAGTCATCACAGCCAATCTCAGAGGCCTAGACACAGCTGATAAAAGATGTCATCATAGTGGTGTAGGAGTAATGCGTAGCAAATGCCAAAGATTATGTCGAATATGCCATGAATCACGACTATACTGCCACGGGCCACTACAAAAACGACACAGAACATGACAAAAATGCCATAGATCACTGCAAAAATGCCACAGACCAGGACAAAAGTGCCACAAACCATGACAAAATGTCACAAATATTATCTATATACCACAGAACACAAAAATGCTGTGACATCAATCTTACATCAGCTTTTAACATACCTGGATGAGCACACCAGGCTGATTGTCTGAGTAGGTTGTGAAAGTCTGTTGTTGTTTGGTCGGAATAGTCGTGTTACGCTTGATTAGAGCAGTCATGACGCCTCCAGCGGTCTCGATACCAAGGGACAACGGAGCCACATCGAGGAGCAGAAGATCTTGCACCTGAAATAAACTTTCATTTTTATCTCTGTATTTTAGTTTGTGATTAAACAATTGTTCTTGTATACAAGTCCACTCGAAGCTGTAGGAACCCTCGGACCAATGCTGAGAACTGACTGATCTGATAAAACCATATAAACACACAAGTTTTACCAAAGTGAGGGAATTAAAGTGATCCCCGCCAGGAAAATTTTGATAACTGTCAGCCGCATGGTTTTTCTCCCTTATCAGCGCCCACTAGTGACTACAGAAAGATCAAGGAATATGCGACATTCCGAGCCGCACCAGTATAAACTGGGGCTCTGGATTGCTTTATGACACTGTGGCTCAGAATATACACCACATGAGGGCGCTCCAACACCACACAGGCAGAGCCGAGAGGAGTTCAACCCTCCCAGAATACCTTGCGTCAACATAGATTGAATATAATTCGTTTGTACAATTCAGAAAAAGGCGCCGTGTAAGCATGGACTTAATACCAAGACACTACATTCCCTAAATATGAAAGAATCCAGTAACTTCCTTTAACTTTCATGTATCGTCAATATTGGAAATTTTCAAAAGTACTCATCCGTATTAAAAATCGATATACCAGAATTTGGGGACTTCTCCGCCCCTAACCCCCAACGAGACCCTCAATATAGTTGGGGACCACCGATGGGAACCTCATGCAACAAAAGTACAAACGTTGGGGACATCCTTCAACCCCAATGAGACATCAATAAATGTGAGCTGGGGAATCAGAATGGAAAAATCTATAAACCGGATTTTGATGACTTCCCCCGGGACGACCCTGTGAAGGTTTGGGGTCATCAGATCGGATTTGTCTCTTTTGAGAAAATGGCAGCACCATAGTCGAGAGAGCTAGGGACATCCCCCTCCCCAAATATGAAAATAACTTGAAAATAACTTAATTACCTCCTCAGATTTGTCTCCTGAGAGAATGGCAGCCTGTACTGCGGCACCATAGGCTACGGCTTCATCAGGGTTGATGCTCTTGTTCAACTCCTTGCTGTTGAAGAAATCTTGCAGAAGTTTTTGGATCTTTGGAATTCGAGTCGATCCTCCAACCAAGACGATGTCGTGGATCTAGGAATAGAACGCATGATGAAAATAGTCGATCAAAGCAAGGTCAAGCACATTTACTCAGAAGTGAGTACCTACGGGAGGCCAAGAGCCACTCAGAAAACTATGTAGAATTATGGAGGTGCATTATTCGCACTCATTCAAAAGTAAATGAGACTCCTCTCCTCTGAGCAAAGTAACGCCAATCACCGAAGTGCCAAGAGCAACTTGAAGTATTAGACATATGGCAATGCAATACATGCAAGAAATAGGTTTGATGCAATGTTGAAATAAGTCAAAACAAACCTTGGCTTTATCCATCTTTGCATCTCTCAACGACTTCTCGACCGGTTCCAGGGTTCCGCGGAAAAGATCAGAGTTCTGCTCCTCGAATCGAGCACGAGTGATGGAAGTGTAGAAATCAATGCCCTCGAAGAGAGAGTCGATCTCAATGCTGGAACAGAAGGATTTCAGTTCATGATAGAGTTTCCAAAATTGGGGCCCGGCACCCCTTCAAGGTCCCAGAGTGGTTTTCTGGGGTCCACAATCACAGGTTTACTGTGCCACTTGCTACCACTACATTAAATGAAAATGAATTGACTGCTATAAAGCAGTGGCAGCACAAACAAGGTCTCACTCAGAGTGAAAAGGCTTATTACCAGCTAAAAAAACTACAAAATGCCTAGACGAAAGTAATTAATAGAAGACCGATAACAACTCCGTAGCTTGTGCAGAGCCATGCTCCGAGTGAAATATAAAATAGCCCCCTTGACAGCTATGAGCAACATCTAAAATACCATGACATTTACGTTAAAGTGCGGACAGAACTAAAGCATCAACAGTGTAAGTACCAACCAGTAGGTGGTGTGAAAGAGGAAACTATCAACCATAGAGAAATGTCCGCTAATACAGGAACCCAGTGCTAGGAGGAAGCACCATCAATTACAGCAGTAGCAGGTATGTTATTATTGCACACTAATGACTCAAAAACATTCCATAGTACAACTAAGTTGCTGCGGCCGGGATTCCCCCTCCCCGATGAGATTTAACTGGAACAAATAGATAAATGTGCCAGAAACCACATCAAGGGAAAAGGGGAAACACCGCCCCGAATGATGGGATTAAAATCTGGCATCGATAAGGAGCCAGATAATACCAACACCAGGGATGCCGCGGAATGCAGATCTAAGGGAGTGTGCATTGGTGGCCAAATAAATTCATAAAATTTAGAGCAGTGGTTCTCCAACGGTGGGGGGCGAAGACAATTATTTGAGGGCGCAACCACTGTTCTTAGACGTTCCAAAATGAGCTGGGTATAAAATAACCTGACCTGAATGTAATGATCGACATTTCAGGCCCGACCCGGCCTTCAGATCTTACTTCTACCTTGCACCCACCCAGAGAAGAAAAACTCTTCATTACCTGGCCTGAGTGGAAGATGACAGAGTTCTCTTTGCCCGCTCACAAGCCGTTCTTAAACGACGCACAGCACGTTTGTTCTGGCTCAAATCCTTCTTATGTTTGCGTTTGAACTCCTGGGTGAAATGGTTCACCATCCTGTTGTCAAAATCTTCGCCTGTGGTGAGAAAAAAATTTTAGATGCTGAATGATTCATGTAATCACTTGTCGATCATGGCCTACTTCAACGGTTCCCAAAAGTTCACTTTTTGGTATGTAGAGTTAACTCCATTAATACGATAACCATAAAGCTACACTGCTGACTGCAATTTCGTGAGCTGCAGTTTCTTTGTCTGCTGAACAGAGTTTAGCAAACATAAGTGATTTTTTTTAGCATTTAAAAAAAAACAGGCAGAGATAACGAAGAAGACTTGACCTTTGTGCCCTCATTCCCTAGGCATACATGTTTTCAAACTTGGGACCAAATGATAATGTCAAATTTGGTTTTCTTGTCGTCATAACCTGGGATCTTATGCCAAAATTAATCAATCCTAGATAAATGATGGCTCGCAAATAAGGACAGAAATGTCGCATATTGGTACCAGTGCGACAAGCTGTATAGCTGTGTATTTGAATTGTATCAAAATCGTCTAAATCTACCAAACGATGCTTATGCTGCCAAAATAAACAAGTATACGCAGTCCAATTAAATACTCAAAAGTTCCGGATTCGGACCGCCAGTTAAGTAGCCCTGCTCATAGAGCACCCAATTTTATACACCATTTAACCAAGCCTACCTCCGAGATGGGTGTCTCCAGCGGTCGACTTCACTTCAAAAATCCCGTCTTCGATCACCAGGACACTGACATCAAAGGTTCCGCCACCAAGATCGAAGATAAGGACATTGCGCTCTGTTCCCACCTAGTGTTAATAAAGAAAATCAAATACCACTTTGTACTGCGCTCATGTTAAATTTACAACAATTAGTAAAGTCATTATTATTATGGACATACAAGGCAGGTTTTCCATAGTTATCTCAGGGAAAGAAGATAAAATAGCCTGATCATCCGATAGGATTTTACTCATTACCCCGGGCAGCTTTCCGATAGGATTTTACTTATTATCCCGGGCAGCCGAAGACCAACGAGCTGATCAATTACAATCTATCGGTTATCGCAACCTCATGTCGCTATGAATTATTTCAAACTGTCAGCCGCATGGTTTTTCTTCCTCATCAGCGCCCACTAGTGACTACAGGAAGATCAAGGAATATGCGACATTCCGAGCCACACCAGTATAAACTGGGGCTCTGGAATGCTTTGTGACACTGTGGCTCAGAATATACACCACATGAGGGCGCTCCAACACCACACAGGCAGAGCCGAGAGGAGTTCAACCCTCCCAGAATACCTTACGTCAACAGTAACAAGACTAAAATATTTGATCTAAAGACACTTTGATAAGGGGGAACCCAGTACTATGAAATACTAGGTTACTGTAGGGGAAATCCCCTCCCACTTGTATAAAAGCAAAATAGAAATCAGACTGCTGACAAATTTTTCAACTTATTCTCATGTCTAACTAGAAATGCCTTGCCTAGTTTTCTTAACGAGATCCAAATTTCTTGCTAACAAAGTCTCGAGTCCATATATGTTCGTGATTTACAGTCTGGTAGAAATTTCTCCACCGCGAATAGGATAGTATGCCTTGCCTAGTTTTGAGTCAGCAATGATAAGTAAACCCACCTTTTTATCCAAACCGTAAGCGATGGCCGCTGCAGTCGGTTCGTTGATGATACGAAGAACGTTCAAGCCAGCAATCGTACCTAGAAAAGAGGGGTCAAAGATTAATTCAGAGCTGGGCTCACAACAACTCTTATTATATTCCGAAATCTTGTTTTAGGAATATTAAAACTATTTTTCATATGAAGTTTACCATTTTTTGAGTAATTGAAGTCTCATAGCACCACGAAAACGCTTTTTAGGATCTAAAATTCCATAAATAAAATTTCGTCCCAAGTTTTAAATAAAATCAATACATGATAGCGTGAGATGATCATGTACTCTTGCATTTAATGCAGTCACATTGGTGATTTATCTGAGTGATCGTGGTTAATTTGCCACAGTATTAGTTTTTGCCCAATTTTAAGATAGGTTTAGATAATCTAACTTTAGAAATGTACACGAGACTTAATCAAAAATCAAAACCAAAACAGGTAGACCCTAAAACCCAACCCAAAAGATGGCCCCTGGGTTAAAATAGATCGCAGAAGTCTTATTTCTGAAAAATGTGGCATAAGCTAAATTGGTTTTACTGAATTTACATTGATGCTAAGATAACAAAACATACCAGCGTCCTTGGTCGCCTGTCTCTGCGAGTCGTTGAAGTAAGCAGGAACAGTAATGACAGCGTTGTCGATCTTACATCCAAGGTAAGATTCCGCAGTCTCCTTCATCTTGGTCAAAACCATAGAGCTGATCTCTTCGGGGAAGAAGGTTTTCTGTTCTCCTTTGTACTCAACCTGTAAAGTTAATTTTAGTCATATTCTTGCACTGGGGAAGTTAATTTTAGTCATATTCTTGTACTATCCAGTGGGTTCTGTGGGCCAACTACTTTTCTATGCTTTTGGGCCATTGTATCGGTATGTGTATAATGAGAAGATTCGGACCTTCTGAAGTAGGCAACTTGAACTCAGGTTTTGTGTACCAGGTTAGGCTTCAGGTTGTGCGACATCTTGGTGCACATACTTCATGAGTACCGAAGATTCCATGGCAAGAGTAAAGATAACTATTCTAAGGGATTAACAGTCTTGTTGCAAATTAACACAAATATGTTCCAGTGGTCCTGAAGACGGCACCCGACAAGAGGGGCCCGTAGACAATTTTTTGAGGGGGCATGTATTTTCAACAGGTTTTTTGGAATAAAACATACTTTCGCCTTACTATCCGTTATTTGCAGCTAAAGATACGGTCGCTTAAAGTTCAGTTTTTACGCCACCATTCACATCCAGCTGATTAGCGAATGCTAGGGAAACAAGCGAGTCAATGCTCTGAAAATATTATATTGCCTCAATGTTTAGCGGAGAACGCATTACATTACAATTTCGAAATGAAAATCAAACACGATGCAAAGTCAGGAAGCAGATGCATTCCAAATTTAATACTCGAAAGTCCCGATTTGGACCGCTTTCCGCAAGTTGAGTAGCTCGCAATTGCCTACCTTAACCTTGGGTTTTCCACCATCAGAAATGACATCGAAAGGCCAATGTTTCATGTCGCTCTGGACAGCTGTATCCTCAAACTTACGACCGATGAGACGCTTGGCATCTAACAAAAAAGATTAAAGGAATCAGTTTCATTGGTTCTAAAATTAACAAATTCTAATACGTGATAGCGATCAGGGACGCAGACTTGTCGATCTAGCGGAGTGTATCCCCTGACTGAAAAGCGACACTGCGTGTCCCATCGCTAATTAATTAATAACTCGCAAATTATTCGACATAATTCATCCAAAATCAATAGGTTTCTGGTCCGAGATATGATGAATGCAAATGTAAAATTTGAAGCAGATTCAACCTCGCTTTCGTGCGATATCGAGTGTATCCAATAAACAAACAAACAAACAGACAAATACCTACCAACATACTAAGCGATCAAGATCAAAAAGTTCTTACCAAAGACGGTATTGCTTGGGTTCATCGCCACCTGGTTTTTAGCGGCATCTCCGATCAAACGTTCAGTATCGGTGAAGCCAACATACGAAGGGGTCGTACGATTTCCTTGGTCGTTCGCAATAATTTCAACCTGTCATGAGAATATTGAGTGGTTACTTGTCGGCTCATTCTCAGCAAAATATACACATCAGATGTAAGTGATAATGTTAACCTCGGGACTCGGTAAGGGGGAATTTAAAATCAACTCAATAGTCTAGTTTGAGAAAACTGCCAGCTCCAAATCAATTTATAGTTGTGAAAATCAGAATTTCAGCTTTACCTTTGAAACTCAGAATATAAGATTGATAAAAATTTTGTCAAAATAAGCCTTTTGAATCGTCTATTTATTAAGCCAAAACTTTTATGTGGAAAGTTTTGACTTTGTTTTTTAGAATTTTTCACCTGGACAAAGAAAAAACTTGCATATGGATGCAATGATATTATAATAAAAAATAATAATCCTATATCATTGGGTTCAGCATATTACGGTCGAACAAGCACTATTCGTGAAAAAAAAAAATTTAAAACTTTTTGAATTGTCCAAGTCATGTCAGTGTCTCCTGCCATACAAAGGGCAGGTGACATTGGTTTTAGACTCATTTATTATGGCATGTTGTCTGGCCACAATGATCACAGGAATACATCAAAGTGGAATCCTGCTTCATGCAATGAGTTCCCACTAGGGCAGTCTGTATTCCTATAGTATGTTAACCAATATGGCGGACACCCGAACGTATTATGTGTACCAGGTTAGAGTTAGGCTATAATTTTAATCCAATTTTCCTTCTTTATTACTTTCCTTCTTTATTACGAATTCGGGGACTAGCCAAATGATTCCCGTAGTATTTGTACCTGAAATTATGGCCTAACCCTTAACCTGGTACACATACTACGTTCGGTGTCCGCCACCTTGGTTTGCCATTACTACAAGAGTACCAGGCAGTCGAGGTTAGATTCACTTTTATTACATTTGAAGTCTTACCTTCAAAGTTCAAATTTTCATATTAATAATAATTTTTTTTTTTTTTACAAAAATCTAAAAAAAGCGAGCTCAGCCAAGCTTTTATTAAATACTTTGAGCCAGAACTTAGGAATTTTCAAAGCGTTACCCTGGTCAAAAATTTTCAACAAAATTTGAAAAGTTTAAGTTGCCTTAGTCTTCTCAATTGTACTGAAGGCTAGCACGTGTTGAAAGTTTTGATTATTAAAATTCAGAGAGACCAACTGCCAAAAATTCACAACCAAGTGATCGCATGCGACTTCAATTATAATTATAAGCAAGTTTATTCAAAAAGTTGAGTTCGTAACTCCAACCAATAATCCTCCCTTTGTTTGTCATACTTTGAATAACAGGGAGCACTAGGGGCGACGCCTGATGTTTGATAAGTAAACAATGTTACGCAATGTCATGCTGACTAATAATTGACAGAGATTGCGTAACCGTTCAAACCAGCATTTCATCACTAATAATGTCACCTTTTGAACTAAAATTAAAGGTTTGGACTGTTTTTATGCCACTACAGTCTCCTTTACTCTAAATTTATCAGGAAATAACCAGAACAACGTAAGCAGTCAAATGCTGCTATTTTCGCATCAAAATTTCACTAAGGCATAGTATAATCAAAATTTCACTAAGGCATAGTATATCACTATAAAAAAGGTAACGCCCAAACACAGTATCTGGTTTTATGCAACGGGCTTTTCCGGAAAATGCCACAGAAATGTTTTTCATACAATACATATGCTAGTCTTTCACTCTGAACAGAGCCACATCCAGGCAGCGGTTAACACCTTGAGATATGTAACGAGCCACAGTTTAGAAAAGACCGGACATTTAAGTCTGGAGGCTTCACTGCTGGGCATCGTTATTTGCAAAAAACAAGCGAAAACGTATAATGTGAGCATACTTTCCCATGCTGAAAGACTCCAACACAAGAGTAGGTCGTTCCCAAATCAATTCCAATTGCATTGACTTTAGCTTTAGTAGCAGTAGACATAATTTCTGAAATGAATAAAAAAAAGTTACAGGCATGCTATTACTGTATTACAAAACTTAAATTTTCTTCACAGACAGAGTGCTCCTATTGAATTCAAATCTTTTTCTAATTGAATTGCTCAATTTGGATTTCCCACCATAATTCTTTGGATTCAATAGCTCTTAGTAATTCAATGGTCGTCGCGACTTGGCTCAGATGAGTCTACTTTTGAGTAAGTTCAGTGATCGTCTGTAATTTCAGTACTTTGCTCAGAGATGAGTCTTTCCAACTTTTGAGTGAATGGAAATTCAAATAGCCTGAACAGCTAAGCGCATATAACATGTCTACTTCCCATAATGCCATGGCAGAATTGGACTGTAGGGATGTAATGCACCAGTCTGCCAGTACAGCACAGTTCTGATTTCAGAAATAATACCAACATTACCTGCAAACCGGCACTGCGCAATTAAGTAAGGAGGCGCAAACTAAAAACGTGACTATTGAATTTCTCTGAAAAAATTCACGCATTTGAGAGTTTTGTCAACACATGTTGCGATTTGGCACATCCGCCATCATGCCGGACATGCTCGTATTAGAGATGAATGTAGTGTTTTATGGACCAAACGTCAGGAAGTCTTAAAATAGGAAAACTGTGCCCTAATGAACTTTTTTTCCAGAACGAGAATTCCAATTAATAATATAAAAGCCTTCAAATGGATTACACACAGTCCATAACTCGATAAATTCAGACGAGCAAAATTATTGATTTACATATTTCAGTCAAGTACAGAAAGAAAAAAAACTGAATACAGGACAAGTTCTGAGTAAAAAAATTGTTCTAATGTTTTTTAAACCTCGAAACATAATAAAATTTGAATTTCAGAATATCGGAAGGTAAAAAGACTTTCCGTGCTCATTTAATTTTCGAAAACCTCTATAATCGTTTTTATTCTTTTTAGTCAAAGCACACAAGAATAAAAAAAAACACATCAAAACACTGGTTTATTCCAGCCATTTGGAATTCCATATTTTGGTATAAAACATTAGAAAAAAAACTGAGAAACAGTTCATTAGTCTGTTTAGAGGTTACTGCATTAAAATGATCAAGTGCAGAAGTATTAGCATATAAATTGCCTACATAACTGGCGTTAGAATACTACCATCGTTGAGGTGTTGTCATTTTCCAGTGAAAATCTGAGTTACTGTGACGGACAACATATAGGTTTATAGTGAAGATATTACCGTTGACAAAAGTGATTGAATAGTCTACTCACAGATTAAAGTGGGCACACAACATCACAAGACTCCAAACACTAATAAAAACACAAAATATACTCACATTTTGGTCCTTTACGCTGATTTATGTTAAAAATTTAGATTTGCCGAAATTCAGCTACCGAACCGCTCGCCAAGAAATTTCCGAAGAGAGTGAGACAGCCTGAACGCGTGGTTTTGCCGGATATGTGCGAGTATAATAAAGATAAAAAAAATCACAAACTCTGAAAAAGGAGTGAGAGAATAGAAGATAAAAAGATGAGACGAGTGGTAGAAGAACGTAACAAGCACGTGCTCGCGCGTTCGAGAATAATCTTTGATGACGTAACGTAAAACATGGCGGTTGCGAAATAATCACGCGCTGTAACGCTTCCCGTATTGTTTATGCCAGCGGTTTTAACCGTTTTTATACCCCAATATAATTAATCGTATTCATTTATTGTTATACAAATATAGTCAAATTACTCCATTATATCCATTTAACGTGACGGCTGCTTTATATATTGGCAACTGGCTGTTCTATGTCTGTGTAGTAGGTAATGCAAAACAAATATCAGATTTAACGCCAAGTAGAATTCGTGCTTTGGATTTGATTTTATTGGTTTACTTTGGATTTATTAACCCATACAAACAAAGAGAAAAATTTACCAAAGGTTAGGAAAAGTTAGTATACTGAAACAAAGGCTTTCCGGAAGTATTCGTACCAAGATGACGCACAACCTGAACCCTAGGCTGGTACACAATACACATACTATGTTCAGGTTGTGCGCCATCTTGGTACACATACTGCGGGAGCACCGAAACGAATATTCGATGTGTTTTGTGGAGCAAATCAAATGTAGAGCATTTATAACGCGCAGTACTGAATATAATTGAATTAATAATAAAATGTAGGTCTTAGTCTTATACACTCGCCACGATGAACCCATTGGGAATCGCTACATTACACAATTTTTCTCTATCAATTTTACCCTTCCATTTTTTGACGAGATAAAAAGTGAAAGTGTTCCGAGACCGAAAAAGTTTGGGAAACGCTGGACTACAGCAATGAGCCCTACGCTCATTCTAATCATATTTCAATAAATATTATTCATTAGAAATCCCCTCACATGCGACGCACCTACATTTAGCTAGAATTTAGGAGCGCCTGGCGTGATCATACTTTGAGCTTACAATTCATCTTCGAGTCAAAATTGACCAAATATAATAATATTGAGTCAATTTCAGGTCCTGGTAAACTATATTTATACCTAACGAGCCAACTTTCCCTCTAAGCTGCGCGGCCGCAGCTGGCCGAGAATCCCCGCGCAGTACTTATTCGTTTTGCCGCGCACTGCATAAGTAAATAAATTCTGTGTTCGTTTAAAATGTTGCTTTCTTTTCTATTTTTTCTGATTTTCCGCACAGACCTTTTTTTGGAAGCTCACATGGCCTTTTATTTCGCGCAGCTAAGTAAGCTCTTACTTAGAGGGAACGTTGCTTACGACCCGAACGAGAGGCTGCGGGTTGGTATATGATTAATTTCGGTCGTAGACCCCCCACCCCTCCTGCCGCCATCCCCCGAACCCTAAATGAAAAATTACTATTTTTTATTTTAAAACGTGGCGGGGTGTGTTTTTCAAATCTCACATTTTGCATTAGTGGCGGTAATTTTGTATATAAGACCCAAAGAATGTTTATGAAACATGTGTTGTTAAAACGCTTATACCTATTCACCGTACGCGAGTTACCGTGGTGGTTCCATTACATTTGAACCCACGATAATTGCACCTGCATACTATTGCACCTATGGACATATTTTTTACGGATATTTGAACCCATACTAACCCGAACGCAGTGTTTCCCAACCCGAGTCCGCGGTATCAAATGAGTCGTGGCACGTGGTCCGTAGTTTGCCCATGTCAGGTCTAAGCTATGGATTTTTCCCCGACCTTTGACCCCCGGAAAATTATTTCTATACTTTACCATTGCAAAATTTTCGAGGCTATTTTGGAAGTGCTTCTGCGAGTTGGCGCCTGTAAAATGGGGTATATGTTTCAAACCATCATTATGATTCATCGCATACAACAATCTGTATTTTAAAAATACTGGTAGAGAATTTTAGACTAGTCTATCACAGCTATTTCTACACTAATTTTTATTACTGCAATTATTTTAAAACTCCTAGGAAGACAGAGTGATCATTGAATTATCTGATTTATATTTAAGTTTCCGAAACACAACTGAAAACTAACGAATGGAGTTCTAAAACGCGAAAACGAGGTAATGTTTACAACCATGCTTGAAAATCTGTCTGAGTGAGAAAAGTGCCTGGGCGGCTGCGAAAAAAGGGCATTGTTACATCACTTTTTGCAGCGAAGTAAACAAGGAAGTCGATGCTCGGGGAAAGGTCCATTATCGGAACAGCAAGGGTGAGGAATGCGCAATAACAATGCTGAACGTAATAAATAGTTTTGCGAGAGCGGAGGTCACGTGGGCCGAAATCTTTCATGCGTTATATTATTCTAAAACAGCTGAGTGGGTTGTTGTTGTCAGTCTGTCAGTGTGGAATCACGGTTAAGATAGGACGAGGTAGGGTTTTGGCTATTGTAGATCCCTAAGCTTAGTTGCCTTGAGGCCAATGAGTTGCTATACTAATGGCAGACAGAATTCAATGAGTCTTACTTACCCCAACCTGAATAAAGATGACGTAATCAAGGGAAACAGATCTAATAAGTATTGGTGGGGCAATATCAGGATAGTACCAGGAATGGCAAATTGTAATTCACAATATTGAAATGGGAAGTTTTGAATTGTACGGAGTGACAATGGTTAAAGTGAATATAGAGTTGATTGAGTTGACTTTACAGTCTTGAAATAAAAAAACTTAGACCTAGATAAGGTGGCAATTAGTTGGTACGAGGAAGCGACAATGCGACTCAGTGGTTAACTATAGATTATTTCGACTTTTCACTTTAAAGATGAAAAGTTTGAAACTTGTATGGATTCAAAAGGTGCTCCTCCCGAAGTATGTGAACCAAGATGGCGGACACCAGAACGTAGTATGTGTACCAGGTTAGGGTTAGGCCATAATTTTCACTTTAATTTTCTTATTTCAGTTATATTACGAGTTCGGGAACTAGCCAAATAACTGCCCTAGTATTTGTACCTGCAATTACGGCGTAATCTGGTACACATACTACGTTCCAGTGTCCGCCATCTTGGTTCACATACTTCCGGAGTACCCCTTCAGAGACATTTAGCAGTATTTCTACTTTGATCTCTGATGGCGCACAACCTGAACATAAAATGTATACCAGGTTATGTTTCAGGTTGTGCGTCATCTTAGTACACATACTTCCGGAGCACTGATTTTTGTACAGGGCCAGTCTCCCTTATTAAAGCCTGAATCATTAGTTACCAATCTTTTTCGGCCACCGAGCCCATCTCACTCACTCAATAAATTAGTCTTTGATATGGTTTATACGTTTTTAATATATATGACGGACCAATGTATTCTGTAGCTTCCCTGCAATTTATATAGTGCCTCCTATAACCAGGGCCGGATTTGTTTGTCAGGCCCTCTTTAAACAATGACGTCATAACTAATTTATTATGACGTCATATTAGATATCTAAAAATATTATTTATATTTTTAACGGTCCAATGTATTGAGAAACTTTTATTTGCATTTACATGGCACTTTCTATTACTTAGCTTCAAACAAGGCACTGGACAAGTAGGGATCACTGGCTCTAATTCTTCCACATTTCGTCCAATTCCTTACAATCTGGGGAATATACTGGAGAGCGAGGTTTTTTTAATCAGGATCGTTTCTGACAAATTCCGACAAACCAAGAAACCACGCGATTAGTGGGTTTGATTATATTTATTCAATCTCTAGATATATCACTGCAGATAATAAAACACTCAATGAATTAAAGTAAAATACCAGTAACTGACTTGAATAATTATACAATAACAGTTACATTACCATGCTATGGTTGCTCTTATTTTATTTAAACTAAAGTAAATGAGAATTCAAAATTATAAACACACCATGCATTGAAGTAAAATAACAATAAATGACTTGAATAATTATACATTAACAGTAAGTGAATTGCATAACTATACAATAGTAGTTGCTCCTATTTGAGCAAAATCTTAAAAATCATAAAACACTCAATGAATTGAAATAAAATTTCGGTAACTGACTTGAATTACGTTGAAAATAACATTAAATTTAATGCATTTATTACAATACAACCAATATCAATGAACATTGTCGGACAAGAGTTGTCGTTTATTTGTCAGGTAGATTAGGATGAATGACAGGCAAGCTTGTACTTGGGCATCGATATCAAATGGAGCGATTAACACAATCAGTATAACTTGTAAGAAGGTTTGAAACCAAGACTTTGCCTGTCAAATGTCAGATTTCATGCTTTGAATGGGTCGAGGAAAATTTAATGAGGATTAACTATGAAAAGTCGGTAATTCGATGTGGTCTGTGGTATTTAAAAAGTATATAAATCAAAGATTTTCAAGAGAATTTGCTAAAGGCGAGACGAACGAAGTTTGTCATTTGACTGAATAATTCTGAGAACTTGACTGGAAATGTTGCAAAGTTGGGGTCAATGGAGCAATTACTTTCATCAGGGCTCAAAATGAATTCAATATTTTGGGTATAAATATATAAAATCTACGTCATATTGAAAGCAAAAATACATTATTCGCTACACTGCACAAGAAATATATACAGTGCTCAAAATCAACAGTTATTTACACATTGTTAAGATACAATCACCATGACTAGAAATGAAATATCTTTATGAATGAGCGGAGACTTGTGGTTTTTATTTATTAATCTGTATCTGCTGCATCTAACTTGATCTGAACTTCGTATCAACCAAGTTTGTGGGAGATTCAGTTGGCAGAGTTGGATTAAAAATAATTTGGGGAGTTTTATGGAGAATATTTTTGGGATCTGAAGATGATTTTGGAATTCTTTGAATTCTCTTATACAATTCGAATTTTGAAATTCAAAGTTTTGAATATGTTCATGAATTTGGTAATTATATTGATTTCCATGTTCGAAACGAATTTCGTTGATTTAATTATTTTGCTGCAAATTAGATTAATAGGTTTTAGAATATTCGAATTGATTTGTTGAATAGAATTTAAAAATATCGAACTGTTTTGTCATTAAATTGAAGAACCTCTGAATATTGAATAAAACAGAGTAATGGCGTGCCCAACTACAAGGTTGATTCAAAACACAAAATCACTCTTTCATTCTGTTTCGAATAGTTTTTAAGTTTTTCTTTGTCGCTTCTATACTTTCCTGTTTCTCCTTATCACTGGGCCAATCCTCAACTTTCTTATACGCCTCCAGAGATTGCAAATAAAACGATTCAGCCTTGGAATAATCACCGAGTTTATAATGCGCTAAACCAATGTTGTTCAATAGATCCCCAAACACTCTATATTTTTCAGCGTTCGAACCAAACGTTTGATTCATCAAATTCAAACCTTCATTATAAAACCCGATAGTTTCCCGATATTTACCAACTTCAAAGTAACTAGCGCCAATATTCTTCAATCATCCCGCCTCCATATCAGCCTTCGTATTCATATCAGCTCCTGATACTGATCTCAACTCTCGCAACATATCTGTGATTATTTTCAAAGCAACATCTCTCGCAATCACTTTCATTTCACCTCCCTTCCCAACCATCTTTTCGATCAGCTTACGACATCTATATGAGCAATCCCTAATCCCAACAACCGAACTATTCGGGTTCGAATCGAACTTATACAACTTAGCACAACAAGAAAGTAAAATCAATGCACGAATATGAGACGAATCAGAAATGTAATTATCAACTAATTTGATGACGTCATCGATACCCGGTCTCGATGATGACGTCATTATTGTTTGTAACGCTTCAATGCACCTCAATGCTTTATCCGGTCTCCCAAGTTGACAGTAGCATTCTGACAACATGAATTGTTGTTCTTGAGAAGTCGGAATATCTTGCAAAGTAATCAGCGCGTCCACGAACTTGGAATCGTTAATCAATCGTCCTATATTCTCTGAAGAGACAAAAATTTAGTTTAACCAAATTTCATGTTTAACCAAACTATTTGAATAGTTGATCCACTAAAAAGTTTTCAAATAATAACAGGCTGGCCAACTATAATGCCATTGAAGCTAATTTGGTTTCGTTTCGAATCCTGACAAGGATTGACTGGGACGCATGTAATCGGTCGGCCTTACCAAATAAATAAAACACGAGTTTAGCTTTGGTAGCCCAAGGTAATGAAATGGTTGCATGGACACGAAAAACGAAAGCTCATTGCGATTGCTTGGCTGCTGTTGTAAATAATATTAACCGATAACCACACGAATCTACCATTTCACAAATAAGTTTATTTAATGGGTCACAACTCACAGAGCTTGTCATAAATCAGAATGGAAGCAATATGGAACTTTTAAAATAAGTTCATTGTGATCAGGTAAGAAGCAAAATATTCGATAAAAATGTTACGTTTGGGACATATTTTCTACCTAATAGCGTATACTCTCTGAAACTGTATTTAGGAAAAAGGCTACCTATACGCAACATTACAATTGGTATAGCACAGCAGCTAATGCTAAAGTTACAATGTGTTAAACCTGTGTGTGGGGAGTGCAAAAATATGTAAAAGCGAGTTGCAGAAAGAACCACAAAGTAGCCTTTGGCGAATGTGGATGAAACTTCGTTCTCTGATTTTCATTTCATAAGTTTGATGGGCCACCACCAATATTGTTCTAGTCGAAATGGGCCACAAGCAGAAAAAGTGTGAAAACCCCTGGACTAAGAGGAAAGGCTTGAATATCCGTGATATTATTTATAGGTCCGCATATCCAGGATTATTAGGCTACGTCATTCCATGTTTAAACCTGCTTACCGTATGTAACGAAATGCATTCCTTCAGTCAGATTCATTCTCCCAAGATTATCAGTGACGTCACTTCTCCCAGGGTTATCAGTGACGTCACGAGGAGAAGGACCAGTCGGTGTCTGATCGTTCGATCCTGAGAAACGAGAAATATTCCAATCAATAGGAGACAATGACTCAGAGAAGTGGGAATCATTTCAAAAGTCAGCGACCCCTTCTGTTTAAAGGAGTTTCAACTTAGATGGACCAGGTGTTCAAATGATGAGACTGCCACTTGAATAGACTTGAATATTGAATTCTATCTATATCGCAGAATATGGCTCGAGAACATCATATACAAGATTTCTAGATCTATACAACGATCCTAAGTTTAGCTGTTAGGAAAACATTGCTGTCAAGAATATCCGCATTTAAGCAGCACAAAAGTTTATTTACCATGTAAAATTGGAGCAGTACGCGAGGGATTACAGTGCTATTAGCGCAAAATGCACGTTCGACGTTCACTTTAGCACAAGAAACGTACCCAGCAACAGTTTTGCCGGAAGCATGCGCAACGAGTGTTAGAGTGCATCTTTCCCAGAAAACGTTGCGTACCGGTAGAGACTTTTGGTCTATTTTATCACAGTTATTTCTGGACTAATTTTTGATTACTACTATTAAACTACAACTCCTAAGAAGGCAAACAAATGATTGAATTATTCGATCCATAGTTAAAATTTCTGAAACACAACTAAAAACTAACGAATAGCATTCGAAATCGCGAAAACGAGATATTGTTTACAAGCACGACTGAAAATCTGTCTGAGCGGATGCAAAGAGACATATTGTTAGGTCACTTTTTCGCATCTTGCTGATTGACCAATGTTACGAAATAATTTCATCGTGTTATTGAGGGCCAGATGAAAGGACGCCGCGGGCCGTGTTTGGTGACCCCTGCACTAATGCTTTGGCTTATATGAAGATTAACTTACCTTTATCAGAACTTGATCTTTTGACTTTCTCTTCCTCGGAGTCTTTAAAAACTGTTGGAATAGAATCGTGTTGCAGCTCAGTAGCTTCGGCTTGAGAGTTCCCTGGGAATTAGTTGAATATTTTTCAACAAACTACTACTGAGAATATAAGGAAGACTTTTCAGGACGTACCTACTGTTGGGACGACAATCTGACCGATTTCTGCGGCCCTGACATCCGTCTTCTGCCTGGAAATTAAATAAAAATGGTTGATAGGATATAAGGCAGTATTGAAGGCATTCGTGTTCTACACAGTATCTGGTTCGTCACCAAAATTCACGAAAACATTTCTTACATCTTACGTTTTCTATAATTTTGTTTAAAAATTAATTTTCAACTTTTCTCAAAGCAAGGTTTTAATCCTTAAACTATACACAGCAAAAAGTTGCAAGCTACCACTGAAGATAGCTATCATGAGAATCGATAACAGTTGGCATCAGACTTGACTTCACGTCGGAACTGTCAGGAAAATATATTTATTGCACAAAGTGTAAGTATATGAGTAAATAACCTCTAGCTTTCTCACCCGACATTGTCTCCAGCAAACCTCATTCCTTCCTGATAATGCACGGTGATAGCTGGGAGTTGAACATTAATAACTGGTGGTTGAGATCCTCCTTCAGCCATTTTATGAATTGCTCTCTTCAATGTATTTAAAAATATTCCAATAATATTCAATAGATCAGGATCTGCTTTGAGTATAGCAAATATAGGTTTGCGACAACGAGCGAATGTGGATTAGCTAAATGTATATTCAGTCTCAATTCTAATTGAAAATATATATGTTGTTAACTCTGATTCCAGCCGCCAACTTGGTCATTACAAGACTCATTAATGCAGCTAAAATTTAAATAAAAGTTATTGTCCATCTCACCGCTCTGCGAGCTGCTATAAAAACTCTGCGGCCAAATTTAATCTCAAATACGGCAACGAGAGGCCCAAGCTCAACTCTTCGAAACAGTTGGCGTAAATCTTACATAGGAGTCATTTTACTGAAAAATCTGATCTTTTCCGATTAAATAAAATCGAACTTGACACTCGTGCCAACTTGCTTTCGGCCGCGATCGACCAAAATCTTTAAAATAGCTCAAGTAATGATATTCTCTATCCGGGCTTGTCCAGACTCAAATACTGTGTGTATATTGTATTTTGCGCAGGTACAGTACTGTATTCGTCTGTTTTAAAACACAACAGGCGCTGCATGAGACTGGTTCAAGGCAAAATTTTGAGGTGTGATATTTAAATTCACTCAACAACAGACGCGATCAACTAATCGAGACGCGGCGATCGACGTGCATATCATCGAAACCCTACATTGTTGGTAATTGGAATAATTTTATGATGCTCGGCGGATACAGAACTAGACAATCACCGGTATAATATTTTGATTAGAATAACTGCAAACTCTATTTAACTGGAGTCCAAATAACTCGTGCCTATCTAAACCATACAAGATATAATCAGTAGCGCTATATCAACTATATTTAACGCGAGTTTGCAATCCAGAACGCCCGCATGACGTGACATCCTGAATAAAGTGCGATGGTATTTTGTTAAGTTTATCCCACTCAACGCGTCGCCTTATTAAACCGTTCACGAAACCTTTTAAAATCGGTTTACGGAAGTGACGACATAGCATAGTGATTTTTTAAATTGAATAAGAGTTCAGGTATGGGCCGGAGATATAATCTTACTATTGGAAAGAGAATGATCCGAGAAACATTTCTGGCCAATCTTTACTCTTAGATCAGGCGTTAAGGAGCCCGTAAAGACATTGACGATAATTTACCTATCCCCACAATGAATTTATGAAAATGAAAAAACAAATACATTTTTGTACGTATAGAAAGAAAATTTAAACATAAAGAAAATACTAAACCTTTTTAAATATGGTTAATACGAGCTATAAATAAATTTCACAGATAAATATTTCAAGCTGTAAATTTGACACTTGACAAATATGTTAATAAAGTAGTGTCGACATGTGTCATCTTTGAATTACCTCCTTGTTGCCGCTTTTTGACGCTACCGTTGTCAAACTTTATTAATGCCGTTATTGCTTCTTTGGACAGTTAGTAAGTAAACGAATAGATCGCGAGCTCCTAGGTTTCTTTCACGGAGCCCTGGGGAACTGTATGGGCACTCCCGTAGTATTCGTACCAAGATGACGCACAATCTGCTAACTCTAGCCTGGTACACATACTATTATCAGGTTGAGCGCCATCTTGGTACAAATACAACGGGAGCACCACCGTGTGAACCTATGCCTTAGATATAACAAAAGTCTACAAAATAGAGCACGTGCTTTAGATGGATAGCCAATCAAAAACCTTGTTCGGAGCGAAATAAAGACGAATTAGCTCTAAACACGCAATTCTCTCGAGCATTTTATTATTATTACCTTCTCACCTATTCCGTCGGGGTTGCACTCGACTTTTTATCAAATTAATTTTTTATAATATTAATGTAAAGTATGTTCAATCAATTTTTTAATGTAATAAAATAAAATGTACATTTTGGGATTTTATCTCAGATCTTGGAATTTTTCTAATAGCGACAATGAAATTGCAAGATCGCAGACATACGAATCAAAGCTAAATATTATCGGACAGGTTTATTCCAATGTTCGCATATTATCGTGATATTTTACAGTAAAAATAATGCTTTCATTTCGTCATACGTTGATGAAATACCTTGTTTCGTCGAACACAATTGAATTTATATAGTATAACGTTTTGAATGCTGGTATAGGCAGCGAATTGAATTTTTCATGCGATATAAAAAATCATTATGCAACGAAGAAGCTGGCTCTTTCAACGAGTAGTGTCGTTGCCATCATATTTCAGAAAGTGTTGAATGGAAACTTTTGATTCCGATCCTGGCATTTGTAATGATTTAGACTTTATTTCCGCATTATGAATGGATGTTTACAAATGTTACTTGTGATATTCCGTTAACGACACAACTACTGCTATAATTTTCCGTAATAGTCAAGCGGTGAGATAAAAAGTGTAAGTGTTCGATGGCAACTTGCCATGGTGAACCCATTGGGAATCGCTACATTACACAATTTTTCTCTATCAATTTTACCCTTCCATTTTTTGGTGTACCGCGAGGCGAGATAAAAAGTGTAAGTGTTCCGTGGCCGAAAAAATTTGGGAAACGCTGAACTACAGCAATGGGCCCTACGCTCATTCTACTCATATTTCAATAAATATTATTCATTAGGAATCCACTCACATGCGACGCACTTACACTTAGCTAGAATTTAGAAGCGCCTGGCGTGATCATACTTTGAGCTTACAATTCATCTTCGAGTCAAAATTGACCAAATATAATAATATTGAGTCAATTTCAGGTCCTGGTAAACTATATTTATACCTAACGAGCCAACTTTCCCTCTAAGCTGCGCGGCCGCGCAGCTGGCCGAGAATCCCCGCGCAGTACTTATTCGTTTTGCCGCGCACTGCATAAGTAAATAAATTCTGTGTTCGTTTAAAATGTTGCTTTCTTTTCTATTTTTTCTGATTTTCCGCACAGACCTTTTTTTGGAGCTCCCATGGCCTTCTATTCCGCGCAACTAAGTAAGCTCTTACTTAGAGGGAACGTTGCTTACGACCCGAACGAGAGGCTGCGGGTTGGTATATGATTAATTTCGGTCGTAGACCCCCCACCCCTCCTGCCTCCAACCCCCGAACCCTAAATGAAAAATTACTGTTTTTTATTTTAAAACGTGGCGGGTGTGTTTTTCAAATCGCACATTTTGCATTAGTGGCGGGAATTTTGTATATGAGACCTAAAGAATGTTCATGAAACATGTGTTGTTAAAACGCTTATACCTATTCACCGTACGCGAGTTACCGTGGTGGTTCCATTACATTTGAACCCACGATAATTGCACCTGCATACTATTGCACCTATGGACATATTTTTTACGGATATTTGAACCCATACTAACCCGAACGCAGTGTTTCCCAACCCGAGTCCGCGGTATCAAATGAGTCGTGGCACGTGGTCCGTAGTTTGCCCATGTCAGGTCTAAGCTATGGACCTTTCCCCGACCTTTGACCCCCGGAAAATTATTTCTATACTTTACCATTGCAAAATTTTCGAGGCTATTTTAGAAGTGCTTCTGCGAGTTGGCGCCTGTAAAATGGGGTATATGTTTCAAACCATCATTATGATTCATCGCATACAACAATCTGTATTTTAAAAATACTGGTAGAGAATTTTAGACTAGTCTATCACAGCCATTTCTACACTAATTTTTATTACTGCAATTATTTTAAAACTTCTAGGAAGACAGAGTGATCATTGAATTATCTGATTTATATTTAAGTTTCCGAAACACAACTGAAAACTAACGAATGGAGTTCTAAAACGCGAAAACGAGGTAATGTTTACAACCATGCTTGAAAATCTGTCTGAGTGAGAAAAGTGCCTGGGCGGCTGCGAAAAAAGGGCATTGTTACATCACTTTTTGCAGCGAAGTAAACAAGGAAGTCGATGCTCGGGGAAAGGTCCATTATCGGAACAGCAAGGGTGAGGAATGCGCAATAACAATGCTGAACGTAATAAATAGTTTTGCGAGAGCGGAGGTCACGTGGGCCGAAATCTTTCATGCGTTATATTATTCTAAAACAGCTGAGTGGGTTGTTGTTGTCAGTGTGGAATCATGGTTAAGATAGGACGAGGTAGGGTTTTGGCTATTGTGGATATCGGAGCTTAGTTGGCTTGAGGCCAATGAGTTGCTATACTAATGGCAGACAGAATTCAATAAGTCTGACTTACCCCAACCTGAATAAAGATGACGTAATCAAGGGAAACAGATCTAATAAGTATTGGTGGGGCAATATCAGGATAGTACCAGGAATGGCAAATTGTAATTCACAATATTGAAATGGGAAGTTTTGAATTGTACGGAGTGACAATGGTTAAAGTGAATATAGAGTTGGTTGAGTTGACTTTTCAGTCTTGAAATAAAAAAACTTAGACCTAGATAAGGTGGCAATTAGTTGGTATGAGGAAGCGACAATGCGACTCAGTGGTTAACTATAGATTATTTCGACTTTTCACTTTAAAGATGAAAATTTTGAAACTACTATGGATTCAAAAGGTGCTCCTCCCGAAGTATGTGAACCAAGATGGCGGACACCAGAACGTAGTATGTGTACCAGGTTAGGGTTAGGCCATAATTTTCACTTTAATTTTCTTATTTCAGTTATATTACGAGTTCGGGAACTAGCCAAATAACTGCCCTAGTATTTGTACCTGCAATTACGGCGTAATCTGGTACACATACTACGTTCCAGTGTCCGCCATCTTGGTTCACATACTTCCGGAGTACCCCTTCAGAGACATTTAGCAGTATTTCTACTTTGATCTCTGATGGCGCACAACCTGAACATAAAATGTATACCAGGTTATGTTTCAGGTTGTGCGTCATCTCGGTACACATACTTCCGGAGCACTGATTTTTGTACAGGGCCAGTCTCCCTCATTAAAGCCTGAATCATTAGTTACCAATCTTTTTCGGCCACCGAGCCCATCTCACTCACTCAATAAATTAGTCTTTGATATGGTTTATACGTTTTTAATATATATGACGGACCAATGTATTCTGTAGCTTCCCTGCAATTTATATAGTACCTCCTATAACCATGGCCGGATTTGTTTGTCAGGCCCTCTTTAAACAATGACGTCATAACTAATTTATTATGACGTCATATTAGATATCTAAAAATATTATTTATATTTTTAACGGTCCAATATATTGAGGAACTTTTATTTGCATTCACATGGCACTTTCTATTACTCAGCTTCAAACAAGGCACTGGACAAGTAGGTATCACTGGCTCTAATTCTTCCACATTTCGTCCAATTCCTTACAATCTGGGGAATATACTGGAGAGCGAGGTTTTTTTAATCAAGATCGTTTCTGACAAATTCCGACAAACCAAGAAACCACGCGATTAGTGGGTTTGATTATATTTATTCAATCTCTAGATATATCACTGCAGATAATAAAACACTCAATGCATTGAAGTAAAATACCAGTAACTGACTTGAATAATTATACAATAACAGTTACATTACCATACTATAGTTGCTCTTATTTAAACTAAAGTAAAATGACAATTCAAAATTATTAAAACACTCAATGCATTGAAGTAAAATACCAGTAACTGACTTGAATAATTATACAATAACAGTTACATTACCATACTATAGTTGCTCTTATTTAAACTAAAGTAAAATGAGAATTCAAAATTATTAAAACACTCAATGCATTGAAGTAAAATACCAGTAACTGACTTGAATAATTATACAATAACAGTTACATTACCATACTATAGTTGCTCTTATTTAAACTAAAGTAAAATGACAATTCAAAATTATTAAAACACTCAATGCATTGAAGTAAAATACCGGTAACTGACTTGAATAATTATACAATAACAGTTACATTACCATACTATAGTTGCTCTTATTTAAACTAAAGTAAAATGAGAATTCAAAATTATTAAAACACTCAATGAATTGAAGTAAAATAACAATAACTGACTTGAATAATTATACAATAACAGTTACATTACCATACTATAGTTGCTCTTATTTAAACTAAAGTAAAATGAGAATTCAAAATTATTAAAACACTCAATGAATTGAAGTAAAATACCAGTAACTGACTTGAATAATTATACAATAACAGTTACATTACCATACTATAGTTGCTCTTATTTAAACTAAAGTAAAATGAGAATTCAAAATTATTAAAACACTCAATGAATTGAAGTAAAATAACAATAACTGACTTGAATAATTATACAATAACAGTTACATTACCATACTATAGTTGCTCTTATTTAAACTAAAGTAAAATGAGAATTCAAAATTATTAAAACACTCAATGAATTGAAGTAAAATACCAGTAACTGACTTGAATAATTATACATTAACAGTTACATTACCATACTATAGTTGCTCTTATTTAAACTAAAGTAAAATGAGAATTCAAAATTATTAAAACACTCGATGAATTGAAGTAAAATAACAATAAATGACTTGAATAATTATACATTAACAGTAATTGAATTGCATAACTATACAATAGTAGTTGCTCCTATTTGAGCAAAATCTTGAAAATCATAAAAACACTCAATGAATTGAAATAAAATTTCGGTAACTGACTTAAATTACGTTGAAATAACATTAAATTTAATGCATTTTATTACAATACAACCAATATCAATGAACATTGTCGGACAAGAGTTGTCGTTTATTTGTCAGGTAGATTAGGATGAATGACAGGCAAGCTTGTACTTGGGCATCGATATCAAATGGAGCGATTAATACAATCAGTATAACTTGTAAGAAGGTTTGAAACCAAGACTTTGCCTGTCAAATGTTAGATTTCATGCTTTGAATGGGCCGAGGAAAATTTAATGAGGATTAACTATGAAAAGTCGGTAATTCGATGTGGTATTTAAAAAGTATATAAATCAAAGATTTTCAAGAGAATTTGCTAAGGCGAGACGAACGAAGTTTGTCATTTGACTGAATAATTCTGAGAACTTGACTGGAAATGTTGCAAAGCTGGGGTCAATGGAGCAATTACTTTCATCTGGGCTCAAAATGAATTCAATATTTTGGGTATAAATATATAAAATCTACGTCATATTGAAAGCAAAAATACATTATTTGCTTCACTGCACAAGAAATATATACAGTGCTCAAAATCAACAGTTATTTACACATTGTTAAGATACGATCACCATGACTAGGAATGAAATATTTTTATGAATGAGCGGATACTTGTGGTTTTTATTTATTAATCTGTATCTGCTGCATCTAACTTGATCTGAACTTCTAATCGACTGAGTTTGTGGGAGATTAAGTAAGCAGAGATGGATGAAAAATATTTTGGGGAGTTCTATAAGAATATTTTTGGAATCTGAAGATGATTTTGGAATTCTTTGAATTCTCTTATACAATTCGAATTTTGAAATTCAAAGTTTTGAATATGTACATGAATTTGGTAATTGTTATTAATTTCCATGTTTAAAGCGAAGTTCGTTGATATAAATATTTTGATGCAGATTAGATTAATATATTTAGGTATATTTGAATTGATTTGTTGAATAGAATTTTCATAAATTTTAAGAACTTCTAAATATTTTATAAAAGAAAGAATGATGGCGTCCCCAACTACAAGGTTGATTCAGGACACAAAATCACTTTTTCATTCTGTTTCGAGTGTTTTTCAAGTTGTTCTTTGTCGTTTCTATTATTTCGTGTTTCTCCTTATCACTTGGCCAATCGTCAGCTTTCTTATATGCATCCAGAGATTGCAAATAAAACGGTTCAGCCTTGGAATAATCACCGAGTTTATCATGCGCATTACCAATGTTGTTTAATAGATCCCCAAACACTCTATATTTTGCAGGGTTCGAACCAAACGTTTGTTTCATCGAATCCAAACCTTCATTATAAAACCCGGTAGCTTCCTTATATTTACCAACTGCAACGTAAATAATACCAACATTATTCAAGCATCTCGCCTCCATAACCGCCTTCGTATTCTTATCAACTCCTGATACTGATCTCAACTCTCTCAACATATCAGTGATTATTTTTAAGCCAACATCTCTCGCTACCGCTTTCATTCTATCGCCTTCATTAGCCAGGGATTGGATTACACTGTAACATTTGAATACGCAATCCTTAATCCCAACAACCGAATTATCTGGGTTCGAATCGAACTTATACAACTTAGCACAACAAGAGAGTAAAATCAATGCACGAATATGAGACGAATCAGAAATGTAATTATCAACTAATTTGATGACGTCATCGACACTAGGTCTTGTTGATGACGTCATTATCGTTTGTAACTTTTCAATGCACCTCAATGCTTTATCCGGTTTTTCAAGTTGACAGTAGCATTCTGACAACATGAATTGTTGTTCCTGAGAAATTGGAATATCTTGCAAAGTAATCAGCGCGTCCACGAACTTGGATTGGTGAATCAATCGTCTTATATTCTCTGGAAGATAAAATATCATTTGCACTGAACCTTGACTAATTGAATCTATCTATCAAGTGTTCTTCTAAACTTTTCAATGCTTGGCATCATCGCTTTTTGACATATTTCTAGTTTTATTATAAATTTTTCGAACTGAATTTTCTTATATTCACATAAAAACAGTTAATCGTCAATATACAATGAATATGTTGAATTATGGGATGGTTAATAATATTATGCAAATATGTCTCGTACACTATCATCTAACTCAGTGCGTTCCAAAGTTGTCGGCTCCGGGAGCCACAAAATTATTTTTCATTGTTTGCGGCCAAAAATAGGTAAACAGTGCAGAACAAACACTTTTATTGTGCAAACACATTGGTCAGTATTTGTCATTTATCAAGCTAAAGCATGCAAAAATCACCAAGAACTTACTAAAACATGCAAAAGTTTTTTTATATTCAGTGTAAAATTTAAAACTCTTTTAAACGGAAAAAAGTTCTTCCGCAAATGTAAGTGCTTCCGAACATCGAGCGTAATTACTAATATATGCAGCATTTTTTGTAATTCAGATATTTATTTCGTCGAGCATGAAATATTGTACACACAAATTTAAACAAACATAATGATAAAAATATAAAATAAACAAACATACAATAATTCCGCAATTGACGCGGGGCCGCGAGAGACTACAAAGTAAGACATCGTGTCAGCGACACCTTGTTTGCCCGGTTGAGAAGCAGATGAAATCAAACAAACGTTATTAATTAAGAATTATAACATCATGACTTGCTGAATAACTCCAATTTTGAAAATATAAATTAAATATTGCTCGAGTCAAAAAGGGAAAAATGACTGAAGTAGTCACTTTTGCTTTGCGTCATGGTCGGGTGAGCGTAAATACAACAAAGAAACTGCTTATTAACATGACGCGATAAAGCGTAGATAGCAACCATAAAACAGGAAAATCGTTTTATGTGTTTGGAGTTTGAAAAAATCAATAAAATTTAAATTTTACAAGAAAAACATCAATTCATTAGTTGGAATAACCTACGCTAATAAAATCCGCATTCAATTAAGTTAATCTAAGTTATCTACGATGCCAAAATTGTTAGCATATATTCCCGACCAAAAGAAAGAAAGCCAGATTACGATTAAGACTGCCAAGAACATCATTAAACTTCGCTAGTTGCCTCAGCTATTCATAAAATTAGTCAATTCCGTGACATTAGTGATGGATAATGAAGCCTATTAGTGATGTAACAATACGTCGAAAGACTTATGTGGTGAATATTATTACGAAACAACACTAAATGCAATGCTACTAATGAGACGCGGGCCACAGATAATGAAGCCTGAGTTTGGACCACCCAGCTCTAAATCATTATCTCGCACAAGAGGGTTTTCTAGCAAATATAGTAATATATATGTCCTGTTATTGAATTGATGGTCAATTGTCGGAAATCTTATTTTTAGCTTCGCAAGTCTGAATGGCTGCTTGTTTATGGCCTAGTTCAGAAGGTATTGCTCCCCTAGCAGAAGTTTGTTGTGTCAACAGTTAAGTCTGCTTACCATATGTAACGAAATGCATTCCTTCGGTCAGATTCATTCTCCCAAGATAATCAGTGACGTCACTTGTCCCAGGGTTATCAGTGACGCCATGAGGGGAGTGATGAGTAGGTGCCTGAACGTTCGAACCTATGAAACAAGAAATATTTTAGAAAATAAGGGGAAGTGACTCCGAAAAAAAAGATTCGTTATTCTGAGAAAACAGCGCGGTTAGAAAATTGCACAGTTTTAGGCTTGGCCACGCTAGATTGAATTGTGCTTTGCTCAAAATCTATTTTTGTTATAATCAAATAAATGCTTTAATTTGTTAAATTGCCATGTTATGTCTGGCTATTAATGTCAACTCAATCCGGGAAAGAATACAAATTACATATAAACTACGCGATCAAAAAGATTTGCTCATTTGACTGAGATCCTTGAGAATAGTTGTAGATTCATTCAAGAAGCTACTATTAAGCATTTTAGGAAGAATATGAAGTTGAAAATACCTTCTGTTGGGACGACGATCTGACCAATTTCTGCGGCCTGGATTTTAGTCTTCTGCCTGAAAATAAACGAAACCAATGTGATGGTCGGCTCATCTACATGTGATAGTAAAAGTAATTGGTTGTTAATATCAAACGAAAACCAGAGTCTGGCGTCCATTTGCAGACGGCGGATCTCATTTGTAACTGAATCGAAACAAATGATCGATTTCAGCATCGCTTCATTGCCTTCACACCTGGGCGAGTCGATCCGTTCTGACTGCAAGTATACTATACCAAGAATTAAATCAGCATTTCCTTACCCAACATTGTCGCCAGCAAATCTCGTTCCTTCCTGATAATGAACATTGATAGCTGGCAGTTGCACATTAATAACTGGAGGTTGCCGCCCTCCTTCAGCCATTTCGTGTATATTTGTTAGACTGTTAGGATATTTTAATCTTATTTAATACAAATTATGCCTGCAAAAATTAAATATATATTTTATAGAGATTTTCCCAGTTTGATGTTGCGTCTGCTTTTGAGCCTTTGGTTTGTTTCGGGAGATTAGCTCGGACCCAACAAGTAAACATTCACTGGAGATGAAAATTGCCTCATGATTAGGCTTACCATACGTCCCGCTTTAGGCGGGACAGTCCCGCTTTTTAGCGTCTTGTCCCGCCGTTCCGACAAGCCAGCCAAAAGTCCCGCTTTGGCGTTCAGCCTTCCAGCATATTACATGAACATGTTCTCGTTGCTGTGCAGCGCAACCTTAGCCTACTTACTGAAGGTGAATGCGTCATTTTGTTTGTTTCGTTGTTTCCCGCTAATATTGTTAGCGAACGTATCACATGTAAAATCAATTCTAATTGGCCCTGTTCGGACGTTCACGAGAATGTATCATTGAACAACGTCTTTTTGAAGGTGTTATCTACAGAAAGGCATGCTTGGGCGAATAAGTCTCAATGCTTGAATACGGCAGACTATTTCATTATTCTTTATTACTTTTGCTGTACATAAAAAATTTGAATTTGAATCATGTGTATCATTAGCGTCTATCCCTTTCTATTTTTCGAACTGAACCCGATATTTAGACAGAGAATATGCGCATGAACTCTCGATGACAATATGTCAATGAAGAGAGGGATGGCTTTAAATGCAGGCCTATGTAGTAAAATCGGAAAATGTAAAGTTACAGAATCACAGCTAACGAATCGTGTCTTTGGAGGCGTCCCGCTTTGAAGTCAAAAAGATATGGTAACCCTACTCATGTTGCCACTTTGGTATGCGATTGAGGTTACGTTAGGTTAGTCAAACGCAACTTTCAATAAAATTATAAAGCTAAGATCTCGGACCAATCTTCCAAGAATAGTATCATCTCAATATATGAGTTTATTTCGATTTTCCATAATCATGAAGCAATGCAGGGCAAAACAAACAAATATAAGGAAACTCAGGAAAGTAGGCAAAACCCAAACAAAATTTGAGACGTGCTGATGTACGTGCGTGCCCCCTTACCCCGAACAGCAGACAACACATTTAAAAAAAAAAATACACGAAAGTTAGTTCGGGCTTAAATATGTCGGTGTGAAGCTTGATGGGGCTGGGGCTATATCTATACAAGCAAATACCGCGAAGTGTGGAATACAGATATCAGTGCCTGCTCCGAAAGACTCTGATTTCGTACAGCCCTACCCAGGCTATACCGAATATCTTTGTATATTTTTTTATTGTTGCAATGCTTGTTTTCTGGTTGATGAAATAATTTCTATCTTATCAATGGCCTCGAAGCGAAGGGCACGATTAAGCGTTGTAATAAAGCTTAATGTTTTAACGCTCTAGTCACTGGTGACATTTTATTCGCGTTAAGGATTGAAGATTGATAATGATAAATAACAAGTAACAGACACTGGTGTCTTCTTATCATTATTAGTAAACAATACGTATAGTATGCTACTCAATCGTGCGAAACGGCAAATAATCTACGTCATAGTTTGTAATCACAATACAAGTATTAGATAAATGCCTTTCAATAAAATTTACGAAGATATTTCTTGACCCCGGCTTCAAATTTAAGGTGATATGCCGACATCGTAGGTTTAAGAATCAACCGTACCCCCGAAGTATGTGAACCAAGATAGCGGACACCGCAAAGTAGTGTGTGTACAATGTTGGGGTTAAGCCATAATTTTATTCCAATATTCCTTATTTTAGTTCTATTACGAGTTCGGGGACTAGCCAAGTGACTTCCGTAGTATTTGTACCTAAATAATAACCTAACCCTAACCTGGTAAACATACTACGTTCCGGTGTCCGCCATATTGATTCACATACTACGGGAGTACCGAGTCAACTCTCATGCCCAATACCGAGGCCGTGATAAACATAGCGACGCATCGAAAAGTTTTTCTGCTGAAATTTTGGGGATGCTCACCCCCTATATGTAGGGTAGGCAAATACCTGTAGTGGGATATAGAATCTTTTTCATTATAATGTCATAATATATCTTCCGGTACTAATTATAAATAGTTTGTATTTTATCTTCAATTTTTGCATTATCATGCTAAATTGTATCAATATGTCTCGCTCAGCCCATCATGAAAGAATATTTGGCAATAACTTGAATTCAAAATAGACTTGGTACCGGAAAGATTAACGTCATAATACACGAGGTACATTATTCCTAAAATCCGTTCATAAGAACAACACATTATCGCAAAGGCTGGTTTTTTAATAAAATAAGTCTCGCCTATGTGTCACATACACAGCCTCACCAATCTCGATATACACCGCATTGGCTTTCTTCTCCCTCGCTATAAATATATGAATCCAATCCTATTCTTTGTTAAAGTCAATTACTGTGGCTGCCTGGGTCGTACATCGCTAAGGATAGCAAACAGTAAAACGATTTAAAACTTCAATCGACGTGGCATATGTGACAATCTGCTGTGATAGTTTAATAATTAACAAACTTTGCTGTATTTAGCGAGTGTAGGATTTATGACACTATGATAAGAAATAGAAATGATAAGTAGACCGGAACGTGCCAGCATACTGCAAGGAAAATCAGTAAAGTAGGAAAAATCCAAACAAAATTTGAGACGTGCCCCCTTACCCCGAACAGCAGACAACAAACACACTTAAAAAAAAATACACGAAAATTAGTTCGGGCCTAAAGACGTCGGTGTGAAGCTTGATGGGGCTGCAATTTCTACTATATCTATACAAGCAAATACCGCGAAGTGTGGAATACAGATATCAGTGCCTGCTCAGAAAGACTCTGCTTTCGTACAGCTCTACCCAGTCTATACCGAATAACTTTGTATATATTTTTATTGTTGCAATGCTTGTTTTCTGGTTGATGAAATAATTTCTATCTTATCAATGGCCTCGGAGCGGAGGGCACGATTAAGCGCTGTAATAAAGCTTAATGTTTTAACACTCTAGTCACTCGTGATATTTTATTCGCGTTAAGGATTGAAGATTGATAAATAACAAGTAACAGACACTGGTGTCTTCTTATCATTATTAGTAAACAATACGTATAGTATGCTACTCAATCGTGCGAAACGACAAATAATCTACGTCATAGTTTGTAATCACAATACAAGTATTAGATAAATGCCTTTCAATAAAATTCACGAAGATATTTCTTGACCCCGGCTTCAAATTTGAGGTGATATGCCGACATCGTAGGTTTAAGTTCAGAATCGACCGTACTCCCGAAGTAATTGAACCAAGATAGCGGACACTGCAACGTAGTGTGTGTACAATGTTGGGGTTAAGCCATAATTTTATTCCAATATTCCTTATTTTAGTTCTATTACGATTTCGGGGACTAGCCAAGTGACTTCCGTAGTATTTGTACCTAAATAATAACCTAACCCTAACCTGGTACTACGTTCTGGTGTCCGCCATCTTGATTCACATACTACGGGAATACCGAGTCAACTCTCATGCCAAATACCGAGGCCGTGATAAACATAGCGACGCATCGAAAAGTTTTGATGCAATTCAGTGACTGCTTATTAAAGCCTTGTTCTGAGGGAGTGTTCAATAACATTTGATTTATCAAAAAAGTTAATCATTTTAATTTTGTATTTTCTGCAAAATTTGACTTAAGATATTTCCAATTTTATATACATGATATAAAAGTACTGTACAACAAATGCAAGTCCGTCTCCAATGCCAAGGAGGTAATTTCACAGGCGTTCCCGAAGTATGTGCACCAAGATGGCACACAACCTTAACCCTAACCTGGTACACATACTATGTTCAGGTTGTGCGCCATCTTGGTGCACATACTTCTATAGCTCCCTTTTAAATATATGTCGTACTTCCGTAGTATGTCCACCAAGATGGCGCACAACCTTAACCCTAACCTGGTACACATACTATGTTCAGGTTGTGCGCCATCTTGGTGCACATACTTCTATAGCTCCATTTTAAATATATTTCGTACTCCCGTAGTATGTCCACCAAGATGGCGCACAATCTGAAGATAGTATGTGTTCCAGGTTAGGGTTGAGGTTGTTTGCCATATTGGAGCAGATGTTATGCATTTGACTGATCATCTGCACCGGAAGATAACACTTTCTAGAAATACCAATACATTTTATCTTGAGAATTAAATTATGGTGTCACACCTGAAAATGAGGGAGAGGGGGGTCTGAAATTTTAGGGGGGTGCTCATCCCCTATATGTGTGGTGGGCTCTGTAGTGGGATATAGAATCTTTTTCATTATAATGTCATAATATATCTTCCGGTACTAATTATAAATAGTTTTGTATTTTATCTTCAATTTTTGCATAATCATGCTAAATTGTACCAATATGTCTCGCTCAGACCTTCAGGAAAGAATATTTGACAACAACTTGAATTCAAAAAAGACTTGGTACCGGAAAGCTTAACGTCATAATACACCGGTATATTCTTCCTAAAATCCGTTCATAAAAACAACACATTATCGCAAAGGCTGATTTTTAATAAAATAAGTCTCGCCTATGTATCGCATACACAGCCTCACCAATCTCGATATACACCGCATTGGCTTTCTTCTTTCTCGCTATAATTATATGAATTCAATCCTATTCTTTGTTAAAGTCGATTACTGTGGCTGCCTGGGTCGTTAGATCGCTAAGGATAGCAAACAGTAAAACGATTTAAAACTTCAATCGACGTGGCATATGTGACAATCTGCTGTGATAGTTTAATATTTAACAAACTTTGCTGTATTTAGCGAGTGTAGGAGTTATGATATTATGATAAGAAATAGAAATGATAAGTAGACCGGAACGTGCCAGCATACTGCAAGGAAAATCAGGAAAGTAGGCAAAATCCAAACAAAATTTGAGACGTGCTGATGTACGTACCCCTTTACCCCTAACAGCAGACAACACATTATTAAAAAAATACACGAAAATTAGTTCGGGCCTAAAGACGTCGGTGTGAAGCTTGATGGGGCTGCAATTTCTACTATATCTATACAAGCAAATACCGC